AAAAAAAAAAAAAAAAAACAACAAAAAAAAAACAGAGTGTGTATGCTTTAAAATGGCATGTGGAAAATCTGGAAGAAGGGATGCATAGCCAAAGATGAATCAAAAGCTACTGTCAGAGCAAGTTGCAAACCCAAAACTAGTTAGATCTCCTTATTTAAGGAAGATATCTTGCATATTCTGTAATAGACTACTAACTGGAAAAAACAGCATTATAGGGAGAAAGTTCCTGTCTAGAGCTGATGAAAAGCATTGAACTGTCTGTGAGCTAGGATGTTTTATAATTCACGGGCTCAACACCTACTTGGTAAAAGCTCTAAATAGTGCTCTTCTAGGACTCTGGAAATAGTGCAAGGCTGGATACAAGCAAATATGACCCCACAATTTGAAGAAAGACTACACTAGATTCCAGAACCTATAGACTCATCGCTTTAAAGAGAACTTACTGCAGTTTAAAGACACCTATTACACAAATGATTTGTGAACAAGAATCAGTGTTTCGTTAAAAATAATTCATTCCAGGGCTGGGGATTTAGCTCAGTGGTGCCACCACCTGCCTTGAAAGTGCAAGGCCCTGAGTTCAATCCTTGGTACCAAAAAGAAAAAGTAAAAATAATTCATTTCAAATCAGTTTCTAAGACTTACTGTTTGGCTAAGTAATTTTAGTAAGGTATTAGACAAAGTCTCCCATGGATGGGTCCATTCTCAGGCGCATTGAATGCTGTATGCCTAACATGTAGTGAGGAAATCTGGGTTACTCTGTTGCTATTCTCTTTTTTATCCCTGTTCGGCTCAACAACTTTGCATTGAATGAAAACTTAAATGGCAAGTGGCACTAAGCTGAAAGATATAGGTATTGTTTAAATTATCGTATCTTCCGATGTTCTTGAAAAATCTTTAAAATCTAGTTTGAGGAAGTACTAAATAATCATCTTAAATGTTGGAATTACTCTATTTAGAATAATCTCCACTGATCAAAGTGCTATCAAGCTCATAAAATAAAGTTTAACTGAGACAAATGTAAGGCCCTATGTTTTGATGCAATTAAATAAAACCAAGTGTAATGGCATTATAAGAATGTCAGAAATGGACAGTGATTGTGTCAAAAAGGTAAAAGTTGGCAACAAGCTAAACTGAATTTGACTACCTTTACGTAAGTAAACTAACTGAAGATAAAAAATACACAGCATGTCAGGATCACTGTGAAGACTGTGCTACTTCTTCTACCATGTTTTCCTTTCTATTATTGCATGCTTTTAGTACATAGTGATTACATTCATTCTGGGGAGTTGGCATCTGTACGTAACACATCTTAATTCTTCTTACTTCCTCTCCCCTTTCTCCCCATCCCCTATGTTTAGAGGATGGTGTTCATCATGGGACATAACCTAGAAACCAAAATATAAAATGAACTCTTCGAAAATATGGGAAAGTGTAGGCTTCAAAAGAGAAAACTTGAAGGACTTAATCAGCAAAGGGCAGAATAGGGCACAGTAATCCCACTGGGTCAAAGGTGTAAAAAGGCAGATTTTGGCTGATCCTTAATAGGCTAATAGCTATTCTGTTAGATAAAGTTGTTTAACATTTATTACCAGCTGGCTTGACTTTCAGGGATCATTTCTATAGTTGGTGACTTTGGGATCCCTAGCTGAATCACCACCCATACGCATAGTGCCAGAGGGTTCCTGAACTGGGAGGGCTCTTTTACAAAAGGCTCCCGATGGTCTGTTCCAACACTGAGGTTCTCTAATCTTTTCCCTCTCCAGGGATGCAGTGGAGTGTGGTGGCCAATGGGAGTCAATGCCACCCGGCAGGAAGTTCTCCTTTGGTGGCTGCTCAGCCCAGTGACACACTTAGGCCCCTTGGACAATGACCCAGAAGACAGCTGTGGCTCTGAGAGAGGGCCAGGTCCTAAACTGCTGCTTGCACATGACTGCACCTGGTATTCCCGTCACCAAGGCTTCCATCGGCGGGTGCGGGTGCCCTAGAAACACTGGGCTTTTCCTTGAGATTCCAGCAGGAGGTGTTTGAGGGAGTCAGGGGACAAATGGCTTTCTGGGTCCCTTTTTCCTGTATTTCCTAACATTCCTCCTTCCTGGAGCCTCCACTCTTGCTTCACAGTCTCTGCTGCCCCTCGCACGTTCCCATTGCTATGCCCGGTCTGTCTCACTGTGTTCTGTACACTACTGGTCACCGTGTCCTCTCTCAGTTATGGATGTTCCCAAAGATGCCTTTGCTGTATCTGCTCAAAGACATCATCAGCACACATCTTTCTTGTGCCTGTCTTGGTCACAGTTGTGCTCCAAGAGCTCACATTCTTTGCTTGGTCACGTGCCTCACAACCGTATTAAAAAAATACTGTCCTTTCTTCATCCTGCTCTGTGCCAGACACTAACACACTTTCTTCCCCGCCTCTGTGTCCAAACGTCCATCCTCTTCACTAGGCCCTGTGTTGGTCACAGACTTTCGCTTGCTCCCTCCTGTGCCTACTGTCAGTCCTCTTCGGGACATGCTCCATTTATTTCCCACAAAGGACACAGGAGCAGAGACCTGGCAGTGGAAATGTCTCCGCAGCAGACCCGGAGGGAGACCGAAGGAGGACGGACAGCTTCCCCTAGTGTGGGTCTGAAGGCTTGTCGGCTCTGAGATGCTCGCTGACCTGTATGGCTGGAACAGGACATCTCCTAAGGAGCCTCGGGCAGGCTGGCAGCTTTGCAGAGGTTTCTTAAAAGGCTTTGGAATCTTTTCCATGTGCTAATGGTGAATCTGAAAAGCCCTGAACCTGGCCTTCTTGCTCCCAAAGGAGAGGACTATTGAAGTTCACACTGTGTGACCCAGCATCTCCGCAGTGCCCCACAATGGGGAGCACAGAGCCCAGTAGTGCTGGGAGCAGGAAAAGATTACTTGAAATCAGAGGACTGGGATTCCAGCCCTGGCTCTACTCCTACTTTGCTGTGAGGTCTTAAATAATGTCCTTCTATTTCTGGGCCTTACTTTCTAAGCCTGCCAGCTGAAGTTTGGGCTAGGGGTCTCTAAGATTTCTTTCCGTTTCAAGGATAACAGGATGCTGTTACAGCCATCTGCTACCTCGAAAAGCCATGCCCGGACCGTCTTTTGGCTTTGTTTCCAAGGAACTACCCTCCTCACTTGGACTTTTCCGACTCCTGCCCTTGTGAGCTTTGCTCTTCCAGTTGAAACCTGGGATTCTTTCATGCAAAGCTGAGTCCATGGCTTTTGCCAGCTGCTGTAGGGCAAAGGTTTCGGGGAGGAAAATGCCATTCCCCAGAGCTGCTTGAGGTTTAACTGTTCATCTTTACTGTGGTTTGATGGTGCCTCAGGATTATTTAACGTTCTTTTCTCTTGCTGTTAGAGTAGTGTCATTTATCATTTCCTCTGTGTTTACTTTAGTTCTGCAATGGAACTTGACAGGAAAGAGACTTTGGAGTGAGAAAAAGAAGATCGCTGAAAAGGATTCTTTGTCTTATGAAAGCTTGACCCTTTTGGGGAGAATGCTATGCCTTAGGAAAGGGAAAGAAACTCTGAAAGAGAACTGTCATTTAGAACCCCTGACTGCTGCAGAGAAATCACACCCCAGCCTGAGAGGCTCTGTGCAGAGGCTGGAGCTCTCGCTGAACCGTGGCGCCATTTCAGCTGGGAATCGATGCTTGTCAGAGGTGAGGAGAGCTTTATTTAAAATCTCATGTGTATCCTGACTCTGCGGCTGGACCAGTCCCCTTTGGTTCTTTAAATCACTGCTTCCGTGCCATCCCACTTCAACAACCACCATTTGGAGCAAGTGCCATCTTGAGGATGGTTCTCTTCTAATACAAGGAAAGGAGCCACAAGCTTCTGAGACCCACAGCTCTGGATCCTATGACGACTCAAGGACCAGCTATGGCCGCGAGCCCAGCCCTCTCACCACCTCCATAAGCATGTTGGTGAGGACGGGTCCACTGAGTGACTGACCTACTAGGTGAATTGAACTAATAGCTGGGCTTCAGAAAGGTGCCGTGGAAACATTTTTTTTTTTTTTGAAACATTCTGTAAATCATGACTTTGCATATGTTTATTATTCTGGATGTTTTGAATTACTGTGGATGTGCCTGAGCTCCCAAGGGCTAAGAATTTATTCACTATGAGAAGAAGGAATTTAGATAAGAAGCTTTCTGTGTTGAAATGATCCCTGAGGAGCAGCCTCTGGGTACCAGTTCTTCCGGATCTGCCCCTTTCTTCTGATCACTTCAGGTTGCCAAGCACTCAAATTCGTGTATCACAAATACTCTCATTTAAAGGAATCTTGTTGTTCTTAAAGTAAAGGGGTAGATGAAGAGCGATGGAGACTATAGGCTAATTTTGTTAAGAATTAGCCTAACTTTTATGTAAATTAAGTGTCAGATGAACTAAATTCAAATGCCTGTTTGCCAAGTAAAAATGTGCTTGGAGGAAAAAAAAAATAAGTGAGCCACCGAAACCACTCCCATCTTGTACATTCAATTTATGGATATGTGAATCCTATGAAAAATCAAACATAGGCCAGAATGTCACATAGAGTCTGCCAAGGTATTGAACCAGGTAATTTTTGACATTTTTCCTGACATGATCATCTGTGTAACTATGGTTAAGATTCTCCTAGCTAATACCTTACTTTTGTTTACATTTTTAACAAAGTAGAATGATAAATGGGGCCACTTGTACAGTTTATGAAGCACTGACCCCTCTCTTGTGTATTCAACATTTATAGTACATGTGTCATTTATATAGAACATAGACTTTAGTTCTCTAATTTGAAAGGATTACAAGCTTTGATGATGGCTGTACCTTTGGTTTTATGGAATTGTTTGTCATAGCTATCATTTAATTGAAGCTAAAACTTTGAAAGTACTAGGATCTCTGGTTCTAAATTTATTTCCATGAAAGCACACTCGGCTTTAAGATAATCTGCTTTTTGATGCAGTTTCCGGAACGTGTTCTTAGAAAAACAGAAGCTGACATAGATTTTTTATTAATAAATTATATTTATTGATAAACATTGATAAATGTTTATATGAATGCATTCTGTTCATGTTCATATAAATTATATACTAAAGGAAGTCTTCAGTCTTAGAACTAATAACTCATTTATGAATGAGCAACAAAATGCAAAAGTTGACTCTTATACCTCAGTCCTGTGGAGGTCCGCTGGCATCCAGGAGCCTCCTACGTGCCCCAGAAGCTGTTGTCACTTGCAGCAGTGCATTTTTTTCGATGTTAAGTGCTCCTCAGAGTAAAGATAGAAGCCCAGGGCCCCTAGACAATGTAATTCTTCCTTTGTGGCTAGCTGTCTGTCATCTATGTCAAGGCTTCAAGGACAGATCTCCCTGACTTGGTCACCCCCTGCGAAGAGGATGGGAACCTGCCCAACTACTCAGGACAGAAAACCATAGGGAGCCCTTCATGACAGTGTGATGGTCGCATACCCAGAGTACTCAGACTGAGATTATGAAGGAGATGCTTCCTTGCCACAAACTTTCTTTTTTCTTTCTTTCATTTTTCTTCACCTTCTTTTCATTTGTGTCATGAATCATTTGGGAGCTTGGAGTATAACTCCATTAGAACCAGGTCATATGGCCAGTGAAATTCAGGGCAATCTCTTCTGTGTGTGGGACAGGGAAGAGCTTCCAGCCAGCAGCCTAACTCTTGAGGCCTCTTTCCTTTTGCATATAAATTCAGTGAGTGGGTAATAATTATGTTTTCAAATCAGAACCCTTTCTTCACGCACAAATTTTCAAAACGCCATTAGATAACAGGTTGAAATAGGATAGGGAAAAGGTACGTCTGGGTCTCTCATGTCTGCCTATTACAGTCCATGCACTGGAAGGAACCTGCTTGGCAGCCTAACGGGCTTGACAGCTACATCCAGGAATCTCCTCTCAAGGTCTGAGGTGCCACTGTCTTCCCTACCCTTATCCTTAATTTTTCTGAAAGTGTCCATAATACTGCCATGAGCTATTTTTCCAGGTGACAAGACTTTCCTCACACTTCTCTCTTACTTGCAAAATCTCTCCCTCTATATAGAAAACATGTATCTCCTAAAACTCCCTCTCCAAAGCCCGAACCCTCACCAATATGTCCAGGAAGAGGGCTACACCCCAGAAACCCATGGAGCAATTGTTAGACTGACTTACCTTGGGAGACCATCTTTTTTCTTACTTTGTTTCCAAATTATCTATCTTCACTTTAGAGCAACCATCTCCAGATTCATTCAATGGGGAGCAACTGTTTTGTGTGTCTATTTTATTGTTTAATTCTCTAAACAGCCTGATATGTTCAGAGAAACACATATTTTTAATATGCTATGTGCCAGGATTTGTTGCTAGAAGCCTATTAATGACAAGGTTCTGATGTTTCTGAAAATCAGAAAATAAGCAAGGAAACATATATACCTGAATGAGGCAGTTAGATACTGAGATGTGCTGTGGAGAACATAAGTAAAAAGCGGAGATTAATAAGGAGGTAGTAGTGTACTGTTACTTAGAATCATTAGGGAAGACCTGAAGGAAGGGGCGAGTCTGGGCCTGGAAACGTGGAGTTTGGTCATATATTTGATCTAGAGCAGTGATAGAAACCCTTTTAGTCCTTTCAATAATAAAAACAGCTCACTGCAGCGTGCGTGCCGTAAGTTCACAACCACTGACCTGGAGGATATGTACTGGACAAAAAGAACAGCAAAGGCAAGTGCTTCGGGAATGAGGTTGACACAGGTGGATGTGGGAGAAGCTGCCAGAGATACAATCAGAGCAATAGATAAAGACTGATACTAACATCGGGACATTAGATGACACTCACCAGCTATTTACCACGTGTCAGGCTTTGTGGGCAGCCTTTTACCTGAGATGTAATCTAACCCTGTAAGGTAAGTATCATTCCCTTCATGTGGACCAGGAAACTAAGGTGACCATCACCTTAGTCACCCTGGAACTTGCCCAAGGGTGTAGACACTATCTGAAGCTGGACATAGAGCTCAGCCCTGCTGAGCCAAGCCCTTCTCCCTTGCATCATTTGCTGAGGGGGCTGCTGGTGCAGTGGCAAGATTCCCATCTGCTGAAGGGTCTCGATCCAGCCCTGGCTTCTCTGCTGTAAGCAGATAGTGCCATCCTTGCAATGTTGTCACGTCAACTCTTGTCTCCCTTCTGTCTCCGTGTAATGTTGGCTTTCTATACATGAGTACAGATGTATTCAAACAGTGGTTCTTCATTGATTTAAAATTAGTTACTTACAAATAGCCTCTGATTGGAAGGGAATAAAAGAAACAAATTCTCAGCCAATCAGGACGTGGTTTCCTATTAAAAATATCTACTTTATCATAAATAAGGGGAAATCCATCTGCTTATGTAAGCAGTCATTCTTTTTCCCTTAGCCTTTCCTTATCTCTGTCTTTGCTGCTGTAACCCTTCTACAAATGACAGTATCTCATGTCTGGACTGGGCATTAGGTTTAACAGGCAACTGTGATTGTGCTGTTACCCCATCAAAACCCTCAAGGACTCCTTCTTGGCAACCAGATTCAAGTCTCTGTGTGTGTTTTTCTAGGTCTAGTGTTTACAGTTTTGCATTCAATTATTCCTCTTTATCCCTGCAAAGCAAACAAGGTCTATCGATGCTCCATGTTCCGTTAACTTTCTCTTCACGTTTTTGTGCTCGGTTACTGTTTCCCCTGTGTTTTCCATGGGGTGCCCTTCCCTGGCATCTCTTACGTGGTACATCTCAAATGCCACTTTCTACGTGAAGCCTTTTACGGCCTCCGGGACAGCATGGGGCTTTTGACCTATTCCAATCACCAAGCACTTTATTTGTTCTTCCATAACATTTTTATATGCTCCCCAGTATGGTTCATTAATGATGCCCTTTCTGAGCTCCCCTACCAGATTCTGAGCTCCTGGAAGACAGTGGAAACTTCATATCCCTTGTCTTTTTTCCTAGGGTCCAACACGGGTTTTTGTGCACTGATGCTACCCGGTAGAGTCCCTGAATTTACTTGTTTCGAAGGATTTATTGTTTACTGTGTCTGCACTGCATTATCCCCCTTTGTTCTTTCAGCCCCAAAGCTCACTGCTGCTCTGCTGTTTAACACTCCACCCACTGCAAAAGCTGGAGCCTTCTGATAAGAGTAAAATCTTTCTGGAACAGTTTTGAATAAAATCAAGATGTTTATCATACTGCTTACAAGTGGCAAAAAATTAGAATTTCAAAATACCCTTACTTGCCTGATTTATTTCAAGTTTATTTTCTTCTTTGGTTCATGTCTGTCTATTGAAAAAATAAATTGTTTCAATTTTTGCAATTATAAAATGCAAAGATGAACCAAACAAAAGTTGTGTGGGTTACTTGACAATCATCCTAGAGTATGCTGTTCACCATTTCATCACCAGTGGCATTGGTTAAGGCAGAGCATAGTGGGCAGATTGTGGACCGGACCGTGGCTGTGGAAGAAAGACAGTGACTGGTCGAGGTGGGGTATAACTGAGCACCGGAGCATGTTCAGAAGATGTCTGAAAACATCTACTTTCCCCCTAGCATCCTTAATAATTTGCTATATGGCTGGGCATGCATGCCCCTGTCTTATCTGCCCTAAGTTTTAGAATCTATACATTGAGAAATTTTCTTTGGTGAATGACTCAGGCTTTAGCATTGGACAGACAGCAGTTGAGATCTGTACCAGCTCCTGAGCATGTGACTGCAGGCAAGTCACTTATCTCTTTGAGTTAAGGATAACCACAGCCAGGAGACTGATAGCACTTTCCCAGACTGTTGCTATGAGACTGCAGTGAGTGAATGCAGATAAATAGTGGCACACAGTCTTTGGCATATAGTACGTGTTCACCAAAGTGTAGCTGTTACTATTATTACTCTGGATTCCATGACATTTAAAATTCATAAGCAGCATGTGGAGTCATATGGAGAGAGTGTTGAGAAGCCAGGAGCAGGAAAGTAATGGGACTCACAGGCAGTGACTGTTTCTATGCCAGGTGTTCAGCTGGACACAGTGCAGGTGGAGACGTCCACTGAGGAGAAGCCAGAGACGGTGGTGCAGGATTTGGCTGAGGAACTGGAGAAGAAAGATACACAGAGTGATCATGGGTGAGAAATGGAGTCCAGCTGTCATTCAGTGTCTTCTTAGGTAGCATCTAAAAAGCTGCTTTCATCTTCAATTCCTGTTCTCATAAGCATCAGTCATACCTCAGCTCACGAGAGAGTAAAAGGTTGTGGTTTTATTGAGTGCTGAAGCAAGGTAACATTTAATTGAAAAGAGGATCAACTGGATTGAATCTCAGCTTCTCAACTCATCAGCTGGGTTTCTTCGGGCAAGTTAATTAATTTCTCTGAACTTCAGTTCCTTGATAAAAGTGGAGGTGGTAACATCACTGAGCTCCCGATGTTATATACTTTAAATAAAATGATGTAGATCATAGCAATTAGAACACTTTCAGGCAGATAACTGATAGTTTGTGTTAGTATTTTTTATTATTATTTCATGTAATTCTTCTTTTGCGGAAAAGTAAAATGAGATTTGAGATTAGGTCAAGTTTCTAACTCCCGACGATACAAATAGTAAGCAGAAGCAGGACACACACTTAGATGTTCCTGTCTTGAGAATTCATAGTTTATGTTTCTACCTCCCTACAAGATAGGAGACAGAAGCGATAGTCTCAGATTTTGAAGACACACTCCTGGAGTTTCAAGACACTTTATAATGTTTGACTATTCCAGTAGCTTTTATAGTCATCTGAACTGGTCTAGACCCTTCAATAAAAGGTAAAGCACATCTGTAGCTTTAAACATGTGGTTGAGATCAGATCACTGAATTTCAGTGGAATCTTTCTTAGTATTGAATGACATTAGCAGTTGTGTCATTTCACTCCATTTTTTGTCCTCCAAATTATCATGACAAGCATCACTATATATCTTTCTTGTCAACAGGGTCCAAATGGGAGTCCATATGCCCACA